CCCCCCCCGCCGGACCGCGAGTGCCACAGTCCCGTGATCCCAACAACAGTCCCTTTTAGTCACCTCTTACGACAGGCAGGGATTACCGTGGGCGTATTCTGTCCCCCGCCACACAGGGGATAAAAGTGTCGATACCTTGGTGGTACCGATTCAACCTGATTTAACCCTATTAATCTGCAAGTTACAAATAGAAATGTCAATTGCTGCCTATCGGTGGTTTAAATTAATAGTTTATTCGTTCTTTACATGACAGAACATCGTTTTTATTTGATAAATTAGATACGTAACCATGAATTCGGGAAGTGAATTGCCAAATCTTGATAAGATTTTTCGAGACGAAGACGAGCCAGATTTTTTACCGTCTGGAGGGTATGTGTTTTAATAATTCTTATTTTATTGATGCGTGACATTTAGAAACTTCAAGAGTTTGGAATAGTATTTTGCAATCGACTATGTCTATATAACAATATATACTATGTATATGTACGGATTGTATTCAAGAAAAGGAAGTTAATGAAAATAAAGGTTATACTGTCAAATATTATTTGAATTACCAATTTGCTTCCATTCAGTCTTCGTATTGTTAAAACATTACTATGACTTAAAGTGCGAAAAATTAATACGAATGCGCCTTTTAGATCTAGTTTAGCTGCTATTTTTGGGTTACAAGTTAAATCATCAGACAGTCATTCTTTAACAAAGCAACAGGTTATCAAGAAACCAGGCAGTACACGTAATCTACAGCAAATAGCTCCAAACAAAACGGAGGTCATAATTGCAAAAGCAGTACATGCATTTAAATTGTAAGTTATAATACTATGTAAATTTTTTGATGCTTAGTCCCTTTTGTTAGTGTATAATAATTAATACTTTGTGTAGACAAAATGGAGCTTATGTATCAGTCGGCAAGCTTGGTATGGCACTTACAGGAAATATTGCAACAAAAGTATATCAGATTATCTTGTACAAGAGTAAGCAAGATCATGTATCCACTGTAACAGTGACACCCAATTTTATATATATAGTACAGCCGAATAATTACTCCAGTTATTACGATTATAACAAGGAGAACTGGTCAATTTTATTTGAAAATAATGTTGTTTGTATGGAGTTTGCCAAAGAAATTGGGTTAGCTCGATATTTCTCAAACGATGGAAGAATAGAGAATGTATTTTATCAGGATTTATCACCCATAAATAAAGATACAATAGCAAAAAAAGGAGATAGTGTCAATATCAAATATTTTATTGCCTCGGAAATAACACAGCCTTTTAAATGTAACTCCACACTATTACAAACAATGACAATAGAAATATCTACAGATGATAATTGGGAGAAGATACTTTTAGGAAACAGCAAAGGATTGAAAAGAATTTTGTTTTTGCCACCTAGCAAACAGGTTTCTCTCTCATGTTTTATGTAATTTGAATGAATTTTGATAAATGAAATACATATAATAATGTTAAATATAATATTTTGTAGATAAGCTTAGGTCCTGGGTTTCCTAAAGAGAAAGATGTTGTATTGGAAATAGAAATAATGAATATACAGTCAAAGGAAGAAGTTACTCAATTGTGTAAAGTTGCAAGCGATAAAGCATCTATCATATCAAGAATGGCAAAAATGGGTCAGTCTATGTTGCCAAAAATACCTACGTCCACTACTACTGACTCTGAAGATACAGAGGTATGTAGACTTTTCTTGAATAAAGGATTTCTCTTATTCAAAGTGGTAAAAAGTAGTGCTTTTCTTATTTTATCAGTGTATTATACAAATATCAAAGGCCAAAATATTTCATACTCTAAAAAACGTGTAGAAGAAAAAAATTCTTTGCCCGAGGTTCTAGATCAGAAGATCTCAGTAAGTTGTTCATAATAAATTATATAATGAATAATAACTTGTGTATTTCAAACATAGGATGACATACCACACAAAACACCACCACGCCAAAGGAAGGTAAATAATACCCTCTTTATTTACCTTAATTATCTAAAAATATAATTTTATCCATTAAATAATAATATAGTCACATTCTGTCTCAGGTGGAATCATCAGAAGGTGGATTTCAAAAGAAGCTTTTATCACAAGAATCTGAAGAAGAAACACCAAGAAATGTACATCGAATACCAAAATCAAAAGATGATGTGCCTGTAACAAATGTTGCTTGTAAACCTTTTGTTGCTGCATCCACTTTTACTCCTCAGTGGTCTCCTACACAAATTCAGGTATATAAATTTGAGTGTATAAAGAAACATTTATATATAAAAATTACAATTAATTTATTAATTTGTGCATGTATTATAGCCAAATTTTGTTACTCTGGATGGTCAAGTATATTCATTACAGCCACAAAGTGTAACTCCAGCAATATCATCTATCGTAGATCCAGGATTAAATATGTTGTTATCGGAGACTAGAATGACAAATACAGAACTTAGAATGGGAATGTCAAAGATAGCGGATAATGTTCAGAAGTTGCTCGATAAGGTATTTACATACTGAAGGAATCATATATTATTTACAAAGATGCCTTTATGTATCGTGTACAGTTTCATGTTCTTGAACTTCAAAATGCTACATCCCCTATAAAAGATCAAACAACTTTGGATGCTGCTTTGAGAATGTTGTTGATTACAACTGCATCCCAAACTGAAGAAAAGGATAAACAGCTACAAAAAAGTTCTGACGTTGTAATTACCAAAAGTTCTACAGAACTAAATGAAATCAAAAGAAAAATAAGTCTACTCGAGGAAGAATTGAAAAAGTCAGAAGGTAATGTGAATATTTTTATATTATCTTTTAGTTATATAACAGTATGCTGATTGTTAGATTCCTTTACAGAAGCATTAATTGCCAGCGTAGAATGTACGAAAAACCTTGGTAGTCAGAAAGAGGCTTTTGCACAGATGAATGAATGCTTAAGTAAAAATATTCAAGAATTAGAACTGTCATTAAAGGAGACAAATCACGAACATAATAAAACAAGGAACGTTTTAAAACAATTTAAAGAACTTAATGCTAAATATGCAGAAGACAGAGTTGCGTTAGAAAGTAAAATCACTAAGCTTGTTGAGCAATGCAATTCTCTAACTTCTGTAGGTTCTATGGAAGAGAAGAATGTACGACTTGTTACTTTCCTTTCCATGTAATCTTTTATTGTCTAAAATATTTTGTTATTGGCAATTACTCCTTTCAGAATGACAACAAAAACAAGGAAATCAAACATATAATGAACAAAATTTATCATACCCTTATGGATAAATTTGTTGATGAATCATATCCTACCACTTATATAAAATCAACAATTGCAAATGTAATGAAGGTAAATAATAAATAAAATAGTCCATTTGGAATGAATAAATTGCTTATAATTCTTACGAAAAATGTAATTATAGAATGCTACATTACAAGTCTTATATACCACTGATGAGAAAAATGATAAAGGTGAAGCAGTGGTTATCAGAAGTATAGAAACTGATACTTTAAAAACATCTAGCATAGAAACAGAGAATTCTGTCTCAATTATTTTTACAGCTCAATCATCAAAGCACTCTGATGTTTCAGAAAATATTAATGTAATGTTTATCCTCTATGGTTGACTTTATATATTTTATATTTCAAATACTATATTCCTAAGTTGTATTTTGTTTACAGACATCATCCATCTTATCACAAGACGAACCACCGCCCATTCCTCCAATGGATACTGAAGATGAAAATGACTGGCTACATTGATAATTTCATTCTGTATCTCATATTCATATTTTGTGATAAGAATAAAGAATCACTTTTTTATTACAGAATTGTAAAGCTGTAATACAAATGAATATTCAATGTCTAAAGTTTTGATGCTAAGAAGTATTATTTTAATTACAATATAGTTGGTTATTTTCAACATGTTGCTGTACAAATAAATATAAGGTTATTATATTTTGTATTTATACAATCGCTGCTAAATAGTATTTCATATAAAAAAAATACATCGACTTAATATCAAATGTGAGCAACTGAATAATGCAGAAAGTATGCTGTGAATTTTTTTTATGCAATTCTATAAAATGGAAAACGTTGAATGCAACAAAATTATAACGGTTGCGCTGTAGTTCAGTCATTTGTCCTGCTTTAAAAATGGCGCAAAATCACGGTGCATGTTTTTATAACAAACGGATAAGATAAAATAGTGTTGGAAAAGCGGAATATCACGAAAAATATGATAAGACGTAAGTTGTCCCATAAAGATTGGAAATTAATAGGGAACAGAAAGTCCCGCCTGACTTTGTCAGGTTCTTTAGTAATTCTATCTGACTGTATTCACGGTTCCATCGTCTTGGCTTCTACCACGCCAATCAAACTGAAATCTAACCTTAAAACTTTCACCAATAAAAACAATGTTTTTCCTTCAATTGGATGTTCCTTAAATGGTTCCACCAGCGTATAAAAATCATGTGGAAAAACAATACAAAGAATGATTACGATGATACTATTCCGTCCATCCCTATTATATTCTCTTCTCTTTTCCACATATTATATCATGATTTGTAAACACTGTTATTGTTAACTTTAATATTTCACTTATATTTCAATAATATATAAAATACCTTGTCCCCATATACTAATAAATAACATATATTTGATTACAAAATAGATTGTTAGCTGTTACTTTTACAATGGATGTAAATGCAGTGGAAGATGAAGATGTATCCTTCCATTTGGGAGAAATGTTTGACAGTTACGAGGAGCTAGAGCATAAGCTTGAGAAATTTTCAAAACGTAGTCTAGTCCATTATTGGAGACGAGATAGTAGAACAGTCAGTGGAGCTCACATGAAAACTGCTCGTCCAATTAGCGAGCGTTTAAAGTATTATTCTGTAAAATATGCTTGTATTTATGGTGGTCAAAAGTTTTTACCACGTGGAGCAGGCAGGAGGCAGTCTCAGTTAGTTGATAAGATTTTATATTGTCAGAATTAGATTGTTAAACTAATTTCTTATTTTGAAATAAATGAATGTATTTTAATGTACCTTCAAATATATCTCCATTTTATGCATATTATTCTTTATTTTAGATCGATAAGGACGAATTGTCCAGCTCATATTATGCTAAGAGCATCTAAAGATGGTACAAAACTTGAAGTGACTAGTGTCAATAATGAACATAATCATGAAATTTCAGAGGTAACAATAGTAAAGTATTTCTAGGTTTGATGGTTTCTATTAAATTTGATTCATACTTTTTCAATAGGAGTTATTCAAGAATCTTCCACAAGAAAGAAAATTATGTGGTGAGATTAAGCAAGAAGTACAAGACTTGATGCAACTACATATAGATCGTAAGAGATTGAAAGAATATGTAAGATTACGAACAAACAAGATACTTAGGTCCAAAGATTTATTCAACATAGCAGCAGCTAATAAACAAAAAAGGAACATTACACCAGAAAGAGCTTACCAATTATTTAAAAAGATTCATGACATTGAGAAAATGCAGGGCAGAGATAATGACAGAAAAACTTATTCAGAATCCGAAGATGAAATTGCACAGACCATAAAGAGGATGAAGAAGGAACAAGAATCACCTTGGGGTCAAGATGTGAGCTATTTAATTTTATCTTACAAGAAAATAGTGCATTTATTAAGAAACTAAATTTTTTTCTATAGAGATTGCCTACCGAATTAGAAATAAGTGAGGGGAACGATGGCGAAGATTCTTACAGTGGTCAATTAACGCAAGAAGAAGTAGTAGATGAAATAGACACAACAGAAGGCGAACTTTTGAGAACGAATAACGACGGAAATATTATAGCTGCGAATGGTGAAATTGTTGGAGAACTGGTAATGCAAGATGGAGATCCCTCTGTAATAGTAGAATCCATTGTGAACGCTGATGGTTCTGTTTTCGTGGACGAAAGAGAATTTGATACTTATTGTAACAACCATTTATCGCATACGGTTGATCATAGTCAATCACCCAATACTAGGGGTAACTTCATTTGGCAATAAAAAGTATTCCTTTTAAAATGACTATTTAAAGTATCTTCATTGTCCAGAAAAAAGTTGACCTCAATTTTTGTAGAAATTATCTTGTATCTCGAAGAATAACGAAGGTATTTTGGATGGTTACTTTAAATGAGACAAAATATTTAAGGGATGTAGTAGATATATTAGAAATTTGTTCTTTATAAAGTTCTTTCATGTTAGTTTTAGATATTGAAACTGTCGCACCTAGTATTGACGTTGAAAAAATGAAAACAACATCTATTTCTCCGAAGCAACCAAATAGATCCCTTAGTCCACAACCGCAACAGTCGCCGAAGTCACCTAATGCCTTTCATGAAACTGCAGATTCTAGAATTTGGATCATGAAAGAAGCTACAAATGCTGAAATAGAGCAGGACAGTGGACCTGAGAGTGAAAGAAACTGTTCCAAGTCTGCGATCATCGGAAAAGGGGACATCGATGCACCGGAAGCGGTATTGTCTGATGAAGCGAGTCGTCAGCTACTTCACGAACAATTGGCGGTGCTTCGAGCGGAAAAGGGGAAGCTTTATCATGAGACTGAAATGCTAAAATTAAAAAAGGACAAGTTAAAGTTGCAGATAAATTGTTACTCAAATGAGATACGGAAGCAAGAAATGGAGAAAGAGAAGCTGCGGCTCGAGATCAAATTACTCCAGTCAAAGGTAATGGAGGACTCCAATGATGTTTCACATTATATTTTTGTGCCTTGAGAGACCCAAAAAGATTGACTGTAAGATATCTCGCGGATGAACCTTCGACGCTTCTGTTCTTTTAAACTGTTAAATCGTACGCGGAGCAATAATTCAATTCTGGATACGCGTAGCGATACAGCACAGATATTCCATTCTTTTTATATAGAGTGAGTTACAGAAGTAACCAGACTTTTTTCATTATTGACATCAAACTATTAATAGGAATATATGCTACATTAATTAAGTTTTTGTTTGATAAGTCCTTTATTGAAAAATAACAATGTTGTGTACTGAACATATAAATCTAACCACTTTATTAATCGTTTCATGTAAATAATTAGGGGATACCAATACTTGTGTAACTCACTAGAAATATCGTGTCAATATATTTCTTATTTTTGTAAAAATTTTATGAATTTATTTTTAAATCAACGAGTCGAAAAAGTGTTGTTATTGATGTTTTTCTGAGTATATACAAATGATCGTTGCTTCGTCAATTGTTGTCAATAAATTTTCGATTGAATATGTGTATGCTTCATGTAACCTTTGTACTCACATTTGAAAGATGTTCGAGAAGGGAAATTATTGTATAAAGTACTCTTTAAGTACTGTGGCTGAATATAGGAAACGTGTATATCTAGTGTAATAAATTATTTTGCAAACAAAATCATTTTTTATTGTATGCAAAATCCTGTTTCATATTAGAATAATAAAACTTTACAAACATCATTAATACTCTCTTGACTATCTGACTTAAATACTCACTTCCTCTTCGAGTCTCTTAACTTCTGCAATTAATTCTTTAATATCTTTTGCCCTATAAGAGAAAGAACACAGTTCAAACATATATGTAATAAATGTATTTTTTATAAATCAGTATTTGAAATACGCACATCTGTCCAAGGCTATTTTGTATTGTCTTTTCCTGATCGTCCTTAAAAACAATTTCTTTTCTCTTTTCATTACATTCATTGTTTTCTATGTGTTGAGACTGCTGATCAGACTTCCTTTTTAGTTCCAAGAGTCTAATCTTCATGTCCTCTATTTTCCTTTCCATTTTCCGTAATTCTTCAGCTGCTGCCCTCTCGATGGGAGTGATAGACGGTTCCTTGTAATTTACTAACCGCAGTACTTCTTTCGCTCTAAACAATGACGACTTGATTAATAGTTTTCGAATAATTTACATTTATAATAATTCTTACCTTTGCGCCAGTTTTTCTTGTTCATCTTTAATATCTTCATAGCGTTCAGCTAAACGTTCAGCAGTATGCTTCAATTCCCTCTTCGCCTCTATTAAACTGTCTAGCTCCTTTAGTAGATGTGTTTTCATTACTTTCAATGCTCGTATTTTCTTACCGATTTCTTCTCTAACGCTATCGTGTCTGACGAAGTGCTCTTTGCGAAAGATATCAGTTGCGTGATATAAAAGCTAATTGTAAAAGTAGTTTCATTAATATTCTTTCAAATTAATCTATATAGTTAGTGATTCTATCAAACGAGTACCTGTAAGCATTCTCGCGGTGACATCGACTTCGATCCAATTTTTATGATTGGCTGAGTAGTCTCATGCTTTAGTAATTTTTTTATGCACACGTCAAATGCTTCTTTGTTGACCTTAAATAAATGGAGATGTTGGAAAATCGGAATAAAACTTTGTAATATTGTGGTTATTTTCGAAGGGGTCAACCGTTATAATTCGGCTAGTATGTACTGCAACACCGTTGTCTGATCGCGGGGATTTTTTACTACCTACTGATTTAATGTTTTTTATCTTATACATTGCAGTCCGCTGTTGATGTTACAATTAACAGTGTGTGATTTTTCGTTGAAAAATAAGTAAAAAATATTGTATAAAATTTGTGTAATTGAACTTTTGTTTTTACTGACTGCAAGAACAAATGTATGTATATCAGAGATAAATTTTCAAAGGTAATTATCTATAAAACAGAAACTTATACGAAACAACTTTAATTCTAGATTGTGTACTTACTTGTTCATGAAGAATCACTCTTCTGTTGATTCTAATACTAATAGCGGACCATTTACACATCTTTTGGTTAATGTACCTGAGTCTAATTACACTGTTCAACATGAACGTTGATCTGCAATATTCACTGGGAAATGCTTGTAGAGTTTCTCGTCCAGAGCACGAATTCGGAACAGAATGTCTCCATCTCCCTCAGTTTTTGCGAAGACGCACGAATTTTGACAAAAGTGATGTATTACGTAAAAACTAAAAATGCTAGAAAGTTCAATTTACAAGGAAAGGTTCCAAACCCGAAAATTCTGATTTTAATGAAACTTCGCACAAATGTAAAGCATATTAAACTGTGCTTAGAGAAATTTTGTTTTTGTGTCCGTTTTTACTATTGGGGGAATGAAATCATCAAAATCACGTTATTTCGTTTCTTTGATATAACTTTGATATGACCTATTACTGTGCGGGAAGGAAAATTGTCTACGATGCGTCATTTTGTGAACAAAATGATTGTTTTGTTATTTTACATATAAATTCTTAACCGTAAAAGACAGAGATAGTAATTGCATGCAAAAAAAAGTGCATTTATTAATGTTTTATTGATTTCAGTAAGTATATAATTTTTATAAATTTTTTTATTTGCAAAAACAATTTTCCACGTTTGTACTTACATGTGCTTATGCATATACGTGATATTTTGTGTCATTCATGATTTGTAACATACAGGTAGTTTTACATGTGGGATTCTATTAACCGACTTATAAAACAATTACAAAAGAAAATAGACGAGTTTGGGGATCAATTACATTGTGATTTGCTGCGACGCTTTGTCATGTCTGTGGCGTCTTTTCTCGCGACGGCATGATTAACGTGCTAATGGAAAATTCAGTAAAGATACTTTTGCATCTGTGAGCGACTCATGCAAATACGTGTCGTGAGCATGACTTACAATTGGAATACATTGGAATAGTATCTCTGCAATATATTTCACGCATCTGAAGATTCTCCGTGATAGTGAAACATTTCGAAGAAACATTACGAAGAAACATTTAGATCATAAATACTTGTTGCACTATGAACCACGAATAATCACAGATTCTCCACAGGTGACGCATGTAGGTGGATGTGTACTTCAGTGCTCGTCAGGTTTATAACGCACCCACGTTTTTCGTTCTTTATTGTTCTTCTTTGACACTAATGGGGAGATGCTGATGGGCACGAACGTAGGTCAAGTCCTGGGTCGGCGCATTACATATTAATATACTATGTATTAAAAAAATAATCAATGATCGCGTTGCATCAGTGGAACATTCAATGTCATTGAAGCCGGAGACGGGTTTGCTGCGTCATTGACAGTCTAATATGACTGTTGACACCGAAATATGTGTGAGCATGCATCAATGAATGAATGTGTATGAAACATCAGATCATCTGACGTCGTCAGTACTGTTGTCATGGCGCGAATTAACTGTGGAGACGCATCAGAATTTGAGTAATAACGTGCCAAATCGAAGTTTCAATGTTATTAATGTTAATGGCAATTGATCATGCCGTCGCGAGAGGAAACACCATCCACCGCCATGACAAAGCGTCGCAACAGATCGCAATGAAATCGATCTCCGAACTCGTTCATTTTCTTTTGTAATTATTGTATAAGTCGGTTAATAGAATCCCACATGTAAAACTTTTTGTATGTTACAAAAAAATTAATGACACAAGATATCACGTATATGCATAAGTATGTAAGTACAAAAGTGGAAAATTGTTTTTGCAAATAAAAATATTTATAAAAATCATATGCTTTCAGAATTCAATAACCCATTAACAAATGCACATGTTTTGCATGCAATGACTACCTCTGTCACTTATGGTTAAGAATTTATATGTAAAATAACAAAAAAATCATTTTGTTCACGAAATGACGCATCGTAGACAATTTTCCTTCCGACAGAGTAATAGGTCATAAGAAACTGAACAATTTCTGTATTTACAGTTTTGCTCTATCTCGTACCGTTACATAGTTATATCAAAGAAACGAAATAACGCGAAAACTTTGAGGGCTGATTTAATACCTTCAGAGTGAAAACGGGCACGAAAAAAGATTGCTCTAAGCATAGTTCAATATGCTCTATATTCATGCGAAGTTTCATTAAGATCAGAATATCAGTGCATACAGTTATTAAATTTTGTAATTTTGAATGGTTGTAAATGGCCGAGAAAGTTAAAAAAAGAGCCGGTGTAATACTATTTCCGTACTTTTACGGAAAATTCTTTACCTAGCATGAATTTGCTACACAGTATTGGATTTTGTAGACATTTCTGAAGAAGAAACTATCCAGAAAAAATGTCGGAACGGTTTTTAATTCGAACAAATCGGGAAAATATTCGTCGGCAACGTGTGCACGGTGTTTTGCCACCACGCGGCTATTGCTCGCTTACCTCGACTCTTCAGTGTCGTGGCTACGCGTACTCGACACCGATAGTACCGTCCAATGGGCATATGTATACATATGTACATGTATATTTGATTTTTTGCATGTATTCTTGAATACTAATCACGCAATTATAATGAAGTTTTTAATCAAGTTCGATTGGCGAAAATTCTGACTGCCGCTCGATTGTAAACATTTTTTAAATTTTGTTAAGCTGCAGAACAGATGTAATGTGTGATATAAAGGATTACCTATAACATCGTACACGTAAACTTAAAAATGTTTTCGTCTTACTCGATGTTTGTACGATGAATCTTTGTTACGCACGTCCGCTATTTTTTGAACTTTTACGGCCATTTACGATTATTCAAAATTAAAAAATTTAATAACTGTATGCACTGACGTATTCAGAAAACTTCCCTCTATTTTTCATGGCTAAATTGAACTTCTTAGTTTTCACGTAATACGTCATTTTTGCTAAAAATCGTGCGCTTTTACAAAAACTCATGCTTTTCAAAAACTGTGGGAGATACAGACATTCTGTTTCCGAATTTGTGATCTGGATGAGAACCTCTATAAGGGTCTCCCAGTGGATATTACAGATCAGAAACAAGTTTCAATTTGTTGGACAGTGTTGTCTGACCAGAAGCGATTTATATTTTACTCATACTACTAATAGGAAAATCCCTATACCACTCGTCTAATTAAGAATGTACCCACTTGAATAGAAACGATTATATTATATTTCTATAGTTTTATGTAAACAGTATTCTCGCATTTCAAATAGTTTAGGAAATAACGGACGTACACTGTTTGCGCGGATACCTTGTATATTATCTACACTTATTCGATTACGGATAAGTTAAATTTCACTTGTCAGGTTATTAGTAATTTTCATTAAGATATTTAACGTCATACAGACTTCCTTAGTAGTACGAAACGGAATCGACGGATCGAGCTTACCTTTTGCTCTGTGTTAATTATGGGTTCTGGTGGTTCAATTTTCGGAAAGTAGTGTAGATCAATGACAGAACGGGCAACTATATCACCAGTATGCAACAGCGCGATCAGAACACACGGCTCTTGAAGAAGCCCGAAACCAAGAATCGGGGTGGCTTCGTTTGTTCCTGTATGCTTGGTTCTCCTACAAATTAAGTATTGGGAGCTGGACTGATTCGACAATGATGGTAGTCGGGCGTCATCGTTGTCTGAAAGAATTTAATTTTAATCCGAACCTACTGCATACTTTGAAATATATTCTGTTTCTATATTTTGCACGTTTTTTTTACCTTCTGAACTACTAATGTATTCTTCCAATTCAGAGACCATTGGCAAGGTAATCATGTGTATCCCAGCATTGTGGGCGCAAAAATATCTGAAACAAGAGATGCAATTAGTAGTCACCAATTTTGTAGCACATGTTTCTTAATAGACGATCCTCATTCTATTTGTCTAATGATTTAATCTACCGATCGGTGAAAAAAATGAAACCCTCGGTAAAACGATCACTTATTTTTCGATTACAATGTTGTAGAAAAACGAGTAATATTCTTGAAGTAGAACTGATTGTTCGTATCATTCTTAGAAATACATATCATTCATATTTATCCTTAGAAAGATATATGAAATTTCATAAAGATTACATTATGCCGGTCGGTAAAACCGATTGGCAAAATCGAACATATGGGAATATGTCAACGGTACGTGCCAACAGGTCGCACGGCATAATGGGGACAGAAAAGAGGCCGATCGGTTTTGCCAATCGGCATATTATAATGAGGACGCAGCCTAACGTTTGTAATTGTTGTACGATAATTATGGAAACATACCGGGACTTGTTAATCTTATCACAGCGAAGATGTATCGGACAATTGTACTTTTCGTCGTTATCCGCATAGAAGAGTCCCAATTCTATTTCAACACATTCGTAGACATAGAGCGCCACGTCTGGTGTGTGAAGATTATAGGCGGAAGTACTTTGTGACCAAGTCTAGAAAAAAAAAACAAGCATCCGACAAGTGTAAGTATATTAATCAATAAGTGACTTGAAAGTGTTTAAAATGTGTTGGAATCTCATCTACATATCTAGCAAAGGTATGGCAAGGTAACAAAAGAATCTCATTACAGGAAGACTTACTATCCTTTCGCTATCGGCAGTGTCGTTCGTTTCTTCCTTTAACAAGAGTGCGTGGTAAATCTTTCCGGTGCACATGGCGATTACCACTATTGGCGGGGTAGTCTGTATACACATGATGGAACAGGAGTCTATCCCGTAATTGTCGTCGGCTGGAGGATACATGGAGAGCGTTCTCGACACCACCGGGATTTCATGACTTCACAATACCAAAGAATTATGGAACATGATAAATATACAGTGTTCACTTCGTAATGACTTCGTTAGAAATATCATTGTGTTGTAGTTGGAATGAAAAACTGCGTTCATTAACTGATATATTTAAAATCGGATGAGAAATAACGTGCACAAAAAAAAAGAAGAATGCCTATAAAAGATGAAGCTACTGAAGATTAGAAACTCGCTGAGTGACACACTATCAGAGTAATAAGTTATTATTAATAACAAACTCCAGAATCTGTTACCGTATTGTCCTTTCACTACTTTTATTTTTACCACCTCTAATTCGTAACTTTAACATACAAATTTTCTACTTCGTTTTTAATCACCGTAATCATTTTTTAAAAATAAAATGTTTCTGAACGAAGAAATCAGAAAAGGTACATGTATTCGTAATATGCTTCAGAGCACAGCCATTTCATGTGTGATGATCAAGGAAAACTCTTTTTCAAGCTGGTGATGGATTATGTAAATTTTACATTTCACGATTACAACATTTATGACATTGAATTTACGTACATGTCGAGCAATACGTTGCCACGAACAATGAGGACCTCTCCATTCCCACGGAGTACCAGAATGGGCCATTCGATCTGGTTCCAATCTACCACGTTGTTCTGGAAATAATTACCATTTAGATTTCGCATGGTCTTTCTATCGCAAACGTTCGAACCTTCCGCCTCGTACTTTGTTAATGTCTTTGCCGGTGAACATTTCCGGTTTCCGGAGAGTAGGCGTGGCGAAGTCGAAATCCACCGCGGTGTCGCCCAAAGATGAAAAATCTGGTATCTTCGATGGCGAATTATGCGGCATACGACCGACTTTCCAAGATTTCAGGAGCCTCGGCGTGCTGCTGAATTCGCATTCGTATAAACTGGATAAGGTAGAAAAGTAGTGTATAGAGCGTGTAAATTAGTTTTATTAATTTTAATCGATGTATAAAGGATTACACAGGGTGTTAATAATAATGTAGGACAGTTTCATAGGATGGATTCTATATACCAAACTAAGACGAAATTCCGTTCGAGGCTTTGTTTCCTATTTATTAATTGTCGAAAATAAGGGAGAAATACGCCTAAAATACGTCTGACGCGACGAGACTACTTGAGAGGCGCGATCTTCAGCTGTTTCACGAGTTAGTTTCATTAGGCCTACTGTCCACTTAGTTTTACTTTTACTCGGTCATCGATCAAACATGTGTATTTTCCCCGGCCTATGCCTTTAAGAAAATTTCGTTATTTATCTCGCGAGCGCCTGTGACCTGTGACAGTTCCTTCGTCGGTCGCGTTCACGCTGCCTGCGCCATGCACTTGTTCCGTACGAACAAAGTCTCGTGACCTCTTAACCCTATCGGGAGTTGGAATGCATCCGGCCAGATTACGTAATTGCCCGCGGGGTGTTATAGCGTGGCCAGATTTTCTTGGAAAACAGTTACGTTGAGAGCAGGCATGTCCCCTAGTACTTTTAAACTCGATTTTCGGGATATAAAAAGGGACGCGTACAGCTCATCCGCGGATCATACTCATATCAGAAGTCCAGCTAGTGAGATCGGGTATTAAAGTCCTTGTCAAGCATGTCTAAAAGTAAGCTAAACTCTGCATAATAAATCCCCGCATTTCTCAGTGCGTGAAAACAACAGTGTTGTTCGTTTCAAATCTAGAATAACATCTAAATTGCCAGCTAGAAGCGAACTCACAAAGGCACACTTTTACCGCTCGACGTGTACCGAATTCTTAAAAGCTACGAGGCCCATACGAACAATCCTAGTGGACTCTCTGAGATGAAATAGGCTCGGGTTCGTCCACATAACAAACTCTAAAAAACCAAACTCGCCATTTCGTCGGCTCTCGCAGCCGCTTAGCCCTGGCTCGTAACACACTTCAGGCCTGGCTACAGTTCGGCACCAAAGTGTTTACATTAAAGCCGCGTACCCATCTGTGCACGCGGCCCCGAATGAGCACCGGATAAGTACCGGATCCATGCCGAAGAAGCGAACGTGCGCTGATGTTGACGGTCATCCGAACGCGAACACCATTCGGCCGAGATGTTCGGCCCGATCTACATAATCGTGGTTGGTACATCAAAGCGAGCACGCCACAGAATGTGTTGGCTTCCGAAGATCAGAAGCCATGGGTAGAGATATTGTACTTACAAGGGAAGGAAGGACCCCAATACCGTACCACTTCGATTTTATCGATCTTTTGTAGGATGATAGAATAGGGTAAACCAATCAGTGAATAACCGAATTGTTGGATTTATGAACGTTTGGATTAATACTGAAATGTATTTATTTATAACAAACAGAACAAATGTTGAAATTGCAATTACATATATTTTTCTTGAAATTTTTATAAAAACAATTACTTACTGTTATAGTAATTTTTTTAAAATTATGTGTAAAGTGCAAAACGTGTAAAAGTTCAATACATTACTGCTACATTTCCAAAATATTTTTAATAAGAATTGTACTTACTAATGTTTACTTAATACGCTGAATTAAAAATATGGGATATTAAATGTGGAACTACACTCCATTTACAAACATTTAATACTTTTTAAATTTCTAGTTTACATTTCTTGTCTAATGGTTATTCACTGGTAAGCAGTCAACTTCTGGGTGCTTCATCCTACATATTTCTAACGGTAGTTGTGATGTATTAGCCATAGTTACTTGATAGTTTTGAAAGTGTATTTAATTCAAGTTACATACCGAGTTATACATATATGTACTATGAGTATATGTGTCTGTTTGTGAAAATCTGCGATGGTGAAATGACTTGTTGCGTCAAAATTAATTACTACAGAAAAATTAATTAACTTTTTATAATAATATCACAAACAGACACCTATATTCATAGTACATATATGTATAACTACGTATGCGACTTTAATTAATTATATCTTCAAAACTATCAAGTAACTACAGCTAATATTTCACACATATCATTAGAAATACGTATTGTATCATCTTACAAAAGATCGATAAAATCAAAGTGGTACAGTTGGGGACCTTCCTTTGTTAGCTAATGCTACCTTATACATATACAGGGTGTCCCAAAAATGTGCTCCGACCCGGAAATGGGGCACTCGGGGGGTGAATTGGAACAACTTTTTCCTTAGCAACAATGTAAACTGAGGCTTCGTTACCGAGATATTAACGAAAAACCGCGACCAATCAGAGCGCGAGTTTGCCAGCCGAGTTCCCGCGCTAGCGGTGGCTACGCGCTACGCTTGTACTACGAAACTCCGAACAAGCAAGTTGGCATGCATCCCAGGAAACCGCGTATAATAGCAAATAAGAAAAATATAACAAATCGAACTTTTTATCATGTTTCGTTTGTCATTTAAAGTGATGAATGAATGAAACATAAATGTAAGAAAATTATGTGTAAAGTAAAAAGACGAATACACAATTATTTTAAATAGTAAATTTTCTTCTCAAATAACGTATTTACGAAAAGGTAATGTAATAGTGATCGTAGTTCGTTATTGACATAAAAATCCGTAGTTCAGTAACGGGCCACAGTGATACTGATTACAAATATACAAGCGTAAACTGATTACAAGCTAGCGCGGGAACTCGACCGGCAAATTCGCGTTCTGATTGGTCCGGCTTTTTCGTTAATATCTCGTTAACGAAACCGTACCTAACATTTTCGCTAAGGAAAAAGTGGTTTCGAATCACCCCAGCAACCCCTCATTTCCCGGAAGAGAGGCACTTTTGAGACACCCTGTAGAAAGAAATTGAAAAGGAATGACGTGGCACGAACTATATGTAGAAGTAGCAAGGGTACTTTCCACTTATTGTTAGTGACTAAATGCTACTGACTAATCGCGATGTCCAGGCGTCTTCCGCAGTGCACGTTCTAACTGGCTGGTATGTAACAAATTATGTGCAAAAATTTCTCGCGACCGTCAAGAATTATCTTTTTTTTTTATACACGATTTTTATTTAAATAAAAATTTTGCCCATCTTACTTCCATCCGACAGCGTGCTCACTTTGAAGTACCGCCAACGAACGGACGGCCCCAGATGCTCGCCGAACGCTCTGTTCATGTTCGCTTCGCCGTCCACAGGAGCGCACGTTTGCTTCTTCGGCGTGCGTCCGGCACTTATCCGGTGCTCATTCGGGGCCGCATGTTCAGGTGGGTACGCGGCTTTACTGTGAACACTTTGGCGCCGAACTGTCGCCTGGCCTGAAGTGCATGGCGCAGGCAGCGTGAACGTGAACGAGACCGACGAAGGGACTGTCACAGGTCACAGGCACAGGGCACTAGGGCAGTCGTTGAAAAGACGTCACGACGAAACGACGAAAATACGTGTAGAAAATACGTGCGTCACATTAGTTTTATTTTTGTGTTATATTATATTCTAAGTACATACATATTAAGTTTCTCGAATAATTAGTGTTAGTTCTGTTTATGTTATTAATATGCAGTTCATTTTAAATACCACGTCTCATCCAAAATCTATCCCTACACAAGTAGTATAAGCCATCGCGCCAGATCAACCAGACTATACCAAAACTGTGTACCACTTCGCAATATTAAAATTAAAATATCTCCTAAACTAATAGCTTTTTGCCATAAGTGATTTAGTAGTATTTTATAAAAATATATAATCCATTTATCCCCTTAACGAACGGTTTTCTTCGCAACATTAGGTCGCTTGTTTGAGTTAACCCCTTAACCTACGATTTACGTTCGAGAATTTTGGGCCGAAAACGTAAACAAGCTCGCGCAGCCTTCGAGCCATTCGCACGACTTGTTTAGTACGATGATCGGGCCAATCGTAAATATTACGGGCATCGCTCGTGGTACGATGGTCGAATCTACTACGGGCTATGCCCGTAATATTTACGTTTGGTCCGATCATCTACTACGGGCTATGCCCGTAGTTGTAGGTTAAGGGGTTAATTCGAGGGTGCGTGTTAAGGAAATAAAGTTCACGTAGTACGAGCAACGAGTAATATGTTCTAAATACTACTCACATCACATTATAGGAAGGGAATATGTACTACATATGTATATTTTTAAGTTTATCACTTTGTAGGTAGTATTTGAGAAGTCGGCTTTATTTATGGAAAAATCGACGAGTAAAATATATGCAGCAATTTAAAATCTTTTGTAGGAGTATATTTGATTTTATTATGTATATTATTAGATTAACTGATATTCTGGAGTATTGGATTGGGTGTTGCTGTCAGTATTCAGAACCTTTTCAACCTTTCTAGTATCTGTGGGACAATGTTTCGGCTTTTTAGAGAAGTATAACAATCTCAGGGATATTTTTAGTAAACTGTATCTTTATATATATTTAGCATTGCAAAATGTGTTGATAAAGATGTAAAAAAGATTGTACCAAGTTATCTTAAATACTTTTATGGTTACAGTTTTTTATTCATTTAAAAATGTGTCTAAATTACTTGGCTTTTCTGGCGTCATCTATGTGTCGATGTCGGGTACTCAGGTCTGGATTAGGTAGAAGCTATAAACTATGTTCGAATACTTTGTTATGGGTTTTTGGAATACATTTCTGCAGTAAATATTATTTCCGTTAACATACTATAAAGAGTTGAAGAACATTATAATAAGGTGTTTTTCAGCAAGTATTTAATACTGTTAAATATTAAGTATGGACAAGGAAATTACCAAAACGTGTTCTCGGACGTCAAAACTAGAAGATGGGAGTCGTCCGTTGAACCAGGATGCCATCTTGCCTTGCGAATTTCCACCGACGTATTGAGGTGATCGAACTTGTATATCCTGAAATTAGAAGAATCAGAAGAACATAAAACTGTTATATATAAAATCAATTAGAAAAAGTGCAACTACAAAAGTTTGTTTCCGAAAAATTTATATGGTTAAAAATAAGTTCGAAATTTGACCTAATCTCGGACACTGCTTTGGTATAAATTCAGGTGAAAAATACTATGTCGTTTTGAGTTTATGCGGGCTAAACTCAATCACATATTTGACGTTGGCTGGAATCCATTCGATATAATTTGCATAAGAATACGATCTATGTCCAGGATATAGACAATCGAAGATACATTTGACCAGATAGTAATGCTCAAGAACAGAATTATTCAGAAACAGAATGTTCTCATAACTCTTTGGCGACATAAACACATTTTCTTCAATATTTCCCAAACTGTTACAGAAAATAGAGAAAAACGAAAAAAATATATTTTATAAGAAACATTGTTTGTTCATTGATAATAAAATTAAATGTATAAATCGTTTACAAAATCTAATAAAAAGTATTAATTTTTTACGGATTTTTTTTCCAATTGTTATTCTACTTTTCTTGTCAATTTGCAATATAAATTACAAGTCACAATGAAAATTATGCAGACCATGTAATTCGAGTTATAGCTTTTCAATAAAAATAACGGTTGTTACATATATTGAAACCACTACACATGCAAGGCAGAAACCTTCGAGGAGGTCCGATTGACACGAAATTATATAAATTACATCAAGATCACTGGGCAAAAGGAAAAAAGTCGTTGTTTTTAATCGATTTATCTAATCTATTTTACATCGCGTCTTTAATGTCTTGTCTTTTTGTATCACATCTCAAAAGCCGGTTATTAAATGTAGAGTTTTTTATTCCAGAACCTTGGTCATCAACTTGATGAGATCTGGGCAAATTTTATTTCGAATAACGAATAACGAATAACGAATAACGAATAATGAATAAAGTCCCAGGATTTATTTGCGAATAACGAATAACGACTTTATTGGACGAAAAATTATTCGTTAGTCATGAATAAGTCTTACTTCGTTCTTTGTTATTCGTTATTCGTTATTCTGAATAACTTCGCAACGAATAAAAGTCAGGAGTAAGCGACACCGCTTCCCATCCATGGATAGGAACCCGAAGGATACGATGCGGTAAGGGGCAATGATGCCAGAATCGTGGGATTTTCGCGCGAGCGCATACCCTCTCCATGCCTCCCGTGGGTATTCTACACAAGCATACTCTAGACCGTCCGTGTGCGCTCTGCTACGGGTGTCTCGGCAAAAGTCTACGTCACGCGTTTACGACGCGACGGCCGAGTGGCCCAAGCCAGTTCAAAAATCCGAAATCCCAAGCAACCTAAAGTTTACGTCCTAACGCTGAGAGCTGCATGATTTCTCTCACGCGCTCATGATTAAAACCCCGTCCGAAATCCCGTTCGTATCCCGATGCGACGGTTTTACTTTTTATTTTTAATTATTACTTTTATATTTAATAATTTCATTTTGTAATATGTCAGAAAAATAAAAACTTCGAAGACATTGATTTAAGAAGCTGTTAGAAATTCAAAGTATACGAACGACCGAGGTGGGCCATGTGCAGTTTGTCAGCACGCTTCCCCTTATTCGAGGGAAAGTTGACCTGAGGCTGAAGTGCTTTAAGCAATAACAGTAGGCGTCCTTAGGGCTAATGAAAAGTCAAGAAGGGCGTACCTATCGGCTTGAGAATAAAACTTTGGTTATTAACACGCCCGTGAGTTTTATTGGATACTCCTATTCGATATTCCATCGCTTACAGAATCAGAAGTGGGATAACCGCGTGTAATCAGTGCACATTTTAAAACGATACGCGTGTACAACGTGCAGAAACAATAAGTGTTCAGTGCCGTGTACGGAAAATTGAGCGGCATCGTTGGACTATAAAGTGTGCATTTAGTGTTGAGACAAATAGTAATTATAAACTGTGAATTTAGTTTTAGTGGTTTTTTATATATTAACAGTAGTGTATGTACTTTATAAGATACTTTAAACTATCGTAATTAAGTGGGACTATTAAAGTAAAGCATGAGTCGTGCATCGTGCAGCCGTGATATTCCGGAATCTGACGGTAAGGACCACGACACTATAGAATCGCGAGTTGGACGATTGGAAAACCTGATCACGGAATTTTTACGCCAATCGCGATCTCGTGCGCGATCATATCGTCGATCGAGGTCACACTCGCGCTCGCGGAGCCCAGGAGTGTGTTCGTCGCGCGCACGATCACGATCACGCAGCCCGCGAAGACGCAACTCGCACTCGCGTAGGGTGACTGATGATAGTAGTAAATTACCGAATCGTTCAGAACGGAGTGCGGAGAGTGTGAATGCTCATAGTACTGCATCACGAGCAAAATCACCCGTACATGCACGTCCCGGGGATGAAAATCTTATACCCGTGTATGACCCGACCAAGGAAGACATTTCCATAGAAAACTGGATACGTCATGTAGATGATTTGGCATCGCGATTCTTTTGGAACGATTTGAGTGTCATGCGTCTTATTGCAACGAGATTGCGAGGTCATGCCCGCCAGTGGTACGACACTCGTATGCGTAGCGCGACCACATGGGCGGAAACGAAAGTTTACCTCGTCGCTCAATTTCGACGGACAATGCCATTTTCAAAATTGCTTCGGGAAGCGGATTTGTATGAAGCAAAGCCGGGGCAGTCGCTTGGCGATTATTGCTTCCAAAAATTAAATTTAATACGACGGTTGGATATCAGCTTGTCTGAGGAGAAGATGATCGACATGGTGGTATTTGGAATACCGGATGAGACCATAGCCAGGACGGTAAGATCGGCCAAACACACCGATTCTAATGACTTGTACGCGTACATGTGCACCATGGGAATTATGCCTGGAAAAGAAGAGAAGAAGCCGAAGAACGAGCGGTTGGTTCCTGCACCGAAGGCTATTGTTAGAGGGAAGGTGCCGATCATCACGTGCTTCAATTGCGGCAAAATGGGACACATAGCAAAAGAATACAGGAAACCGAAAATAGAATGCAATTTTTGCAAAAAATTTGGACATAGGCGGGAGGATTGTCCGCAGAAAGAGGTAAATGTATTGCAAGATTTTAAGAATATTTCGAACATGTTCCAAATCCATATTCGTATTAATGGACATAAAGTAGCAAGTTTAGTAGATACTGGTAGTGCATGTACTGTAGTCCATTCATCTGTTATAAAGAAATATTTGATTGAGACGAAGTTAGTAGAAGGTACGATATTTAAAGGATTTGCTGGAAGATCAGTAATAATAAATCAGGTAGCGCCAGTCACTGTAAAGATTCAAAATGTTATCGCGGACGTAAATTCTTTTATTGTTCCGGATGCATATATGGCATACGACGCGATACTTGGAAGAGATTTTCTTCAACAAGAACATGTTATAATGTTGAAACGAGGAAATCGACTAACGTTTAACGATACAAGAAATTACAAAAGACCGCAAGTAACTTCTGTAATGGATAGTTACGTCATCGACGCGAATTTTAATTTAAATTTGGGAAAACTCGGAAGGAACGAACGAGAATTATGCGTCGTATTAATGGAGGAATTTCGGGATTGTATCTCATCATCGATGCAAGATCTCGGGAAAAAAAATCCGGTTTCAATGGAGATCAAGTGCCTTACGAACGAGCCGGTAGCGTATCACCCGTACCGTCTCGCGGAATCGGAAAAGAAGGTCGTACGCGATATAATAACGGATTTGTTGGATAATGGAATAATTAGAGAGTCTGAATCGCCATACGCTAGTCCAATTACTCTCGTAAAGAAGAAAACCGGAGATTGGAGGATGTGCGTAGACTACCGTAAATTGAACGCGATAACCATCAAAGATAAATATCCTTTGCCACTCATTGATGATCAAATCGACAAACTTGGAGGAAATCGGTATTTCACGGGTCTCGATTTAGCATCGGGTTATTATCAAGTTCCGGTCGCAGAAAATTCGATTGCAACAACAGCATTTATTACACCAGAGGGACATTACGAATTTTTGAGAATGCCTTTCGGTTTAACGAACGCGCCAGCTGTTTTTCACCGACTCATGCACAAAGTCCTTGGATCCTTGAAAGGGACAACAGCATTTCCTTACCTGGACGATATAATAATACCGTCAGGAACCGTCGAAGAAGGCATCGATGAATTACGAAAAGTGTTGGAGGCTCTCCGGACACATGGTTTAACGCTTAGGTTGGACAAATGTTCTTTTTTCAAGAAGAACATTGAATATTTGGGTCGAGAGATTAGTGAACAAGGAGTAAGGCCGGGTCAACGGAAAATAGACGCGGTCAGGGAAATGTTACCGCCTCAAAACGTAAAGCAGGTACGTCAATTCCTGGGATAGGCGAGTTACTTTAGGAAATTTATTAAAAACTTTGCCGCACAATTAGAACCCTTAACACGTTTAACGCGAAAAAAAGTGCAATGGCAATGGGGGTCATATCAGAAAAATGCTTTTTGCCAAGTAAAAGAGAAATTAATAACTCGTCCAATTTTGCGCATTTTTGATCCTACGCGACCCACGGAATTACACACGAACGCGAGTTCCATAGGGGTTGGTGCAATGTTGTTACAACAACAAGAAGACGAAAATATGGCAGTAGTCGCATATTTCACCAAACAAACTACAGCTGATCAGAGATGCTACCACTCTTACGAGTTAGAGACGATGGCTGTTGTTTTCGCGTTACGGCATTTCAGAGTCTACCTACTAGGGATTGAATTTAACCCCTTGGGTACGGATTTATTTGAGAAAATATTTGCATGTGGAACGGAAATAATTTTCTAGTTCAATAACATCTTCATCACCTTCGCTTTGTATTTCATTGTAATTGTCAATTTCAGAATCACTAAACAATTCTTCTTCAGATTTTTCTACGTCACTTTCGCTATCACTATCATAAAAGATATTCCTTGCTTTTGACATAATGGGGCAATGTATCGCGAATAATGTTCACCCAAATACTGTAATTGCCTCTTCTATTATGAGTGATACAAAAAAAAAAAATGACTGATACAAGCAACAATGAAAAGAACAGAATTGTACCTAACCTCAAATAACGTTTTAGACACGTCATCCGTTGCTAGGGAAACCAAGTGAATGACGTATCTCAGATGTCAAATGTACCTAAAAGTTTAATTTTTGGTTTGACGTCTTAGACACGTCATCCGCTCTTAGGGGAAAAAAGTGAATGACGTGTCTCAGACGTCAAATGTACCCAAGGGGTTAAAGTGATAACCGACTGTAGCGCATTAAGGACAACTTTCTCGAAGAAAGATTTATTACCGCGTATAGGTCGGTGGTGGCTGGAGGTTCAAGAGTTTACCTTCGAAATTTTGTATCGGCCAGGAGCAAAGATGGCACACGTGGACGCGCTCAGCCGAAATCCTCAACCGACCGTTCTTGAAATTGCTTACGTGGATATTACGGAAGGTGAATGGATTATTGCTGCCCAGATGCAGGATGAACAATTAGCTCGTTTTAGGACAATACTGGCTAATAATGAGAAGTCTCCCGAAACAAAACATTGTTTCGAAGAATACACACTTAGGAAGAATAAACTATATCGACGTCTTTCTAATAATAAAATGGCTTGGGTTGTTCCGAGAGATGCAAGGTTGCAGATTTGCAGATTGTGTCACGATGATGCTGGACGGATTTGAGTTCGGAAAAAACGCTGGAAAGGATTCAACGGAATTACTGGTTTGCCGGTATGGGACGCTTCGTTAACAAGTATGTAAAGGCATGCTTGAATTGTGCATACTACAAACGTACAGCGGGAAAGAAACAATGCAAGTTGAATACGATAGAAAAGGTGCCAATACCCTTTCATACCCTACACATCGACCACGTGGGACCGTTTGAGACAAGCCGAAAGGGCAATAAATACCTGCTCGTGATGGTGGACGCGTTTACGAAATTCACGATTGTCGAATTCCGATTCTTCCAGTGAAAAATCAGAAGACTCGTCATACGGAGAAAGTATTAATGAATTTTATGTACCTGTTTGGTGTTCCAATAAGAATCATAAGTGACCATGGAACAAGTTTCACATCACGTAGGTTCGCTTTGCTATGTCAAACGTACGGCATTAAACACGTGCTCAATGCAGTGGCCACACCAAGAGCGAATTGACAATGTGAGCGCTACAATAAAACCATTGTTGATGCTTTAGCCGCAAGCGCAGTAGTTCAAGACGCACGGGACTGGGACATGCAGGTCAAGAAGGTGCAAAGTGCCATAAACACTATGCACAATAAAAGCATCAACGCAACGCCGATGAAAGCATTGATCGGGAGTGATACAAGGACAGTAGCTGAAGGACCAATATTAAGTGCCATACGAGAAGAGATGGACCGACTGGACTTAACTGCATTAAGAGGAGATATAAGCAGGCACATTTCTGAAGAACAAAAAGCACAGAAAGAGCGGTATGACCGAACACGAAAAGAAGCTCGCAGGTATACCGTGGACGAGCTGGTATTGGTACAAATAACCAGTGAACCTGCGACAGGGAGTAGTCGGAAGTTGCTACCGAAATACAAAGGGCCATTCAGAATTCGAGCGGTGCTGCCGAATGACCGCTATGATATAGAAGATTTAAGGGAAGGTTCGAAACGATTACGAACAGTCGTCGCGGCCGATAAGATAAAGCCGTGGATTTCAATCCAAGGGGATGACCACGAGAAATAATACGCGAAACACTTTTATATTGTTTTACATATAAGGTTTTACATAAAGGTTTAATACAGGGTGTCTCAAAAATGTCCTCCGACCCGGAAATGTGGCACTCGGGGGGTGAATTGGAACAACTTTTTCCTTAGCAAAAATTTAAACTGAGGCTTCGTTTACGAGATATTAACGAAAAACCGCGACCAATCAGAGCGCGAGTTTGCCAGCCGAGTTCCCGCGCTAGCGGTGGCTACGCGCTACGCTTGTACTACGATGCTCCGAACAAGTAGGTCACCATGCATCGCAGGAAACCGCGTATAATAATAGCAAATAAACAAGACGTAACAAATAAAATCATACTTTTTATCATCTGTCGTTTGTTATTTAAAGAGATTAATGAATGAAACGTAAATGTAGGCAAATTATGTTTAACGTAAAAAGACGAATGCACATTTACATTTTTGTAAATTCCTTTTTACGAATTTGTAAATTTCCTTTTCAAATAACGTGTGAACGAAAAGGTAATGTAACAAAGAATAAACGAGAAGTGATTGTAGTTCGGTGAAATTAATAAAACAATAATGACCAATAAACTGAATAGAACTCACCCTTACGGAAATTCACCTGCAGCGTAGAAACCTGCGTCAGTAGGTCAGTGTACCGATCCTGGTCATCGACGGCCCAAACGGTTTATGGCAGGGTATGGCCCAGTTCGCAGGTGATCGCAGGTATACCTCACCAGCCGAAGTTAAGGGTTGTAACGTCAAGTGCGTCCTGGTTATTCCACAGAATACGTACTCGCTTCACTGCACGACCACTAACACTGATCACCCGACACAATC